GTGGAATTTTGTTTCATATATAATTATTTATATGACATATTATATAGTAATAATAATAATAATAATAATAATTATTATTATTATTATTTAATAATAATAATAAGTTAATAATAATAATAATAATAATAATAATAATAATTATAATAATAATAATAACATTAACATTAATAATAATCTATATATTAATTCTGCTAATTAACCTGGTAACTTCACCTATCTCTTCTGAAACATCTGGCATGAATGTGCTCATATCTCATACACTGGGGTTTCTATTATGTCACGACCATATTCCGCTACTTTTGAAAGCTGGATATTGAGTAACAACAAAATACAGCCGAAAACCACTGAAAATTAGTACCTGTTTTGCCATGTTTCGCAAGTTGGTTACGTCTCGTAAATACTTATGTCTAACAAATATCGCGGCAGGCCCTAAAAAGAACCAGTAAATGATTCGCAGCTTCATTACGTCACCGCGCAGTACTTCTCAAAGGATAATTCTCCTCACGTCAACAATATGGGATGCGTACCTTTGGTCCGAATAGTCTTTGGGCCGAGGGCTTATTGGTCCGAAGGGTCTTGGGTCCGGAGGCCCATTGGTCCGAAAGGTCTTTGGTCCGAAGATCCATTTGTCCGAATTTTACTGACCTGGTTTTCTAGGACAGCTTTCACGGCAGTAAAACAACTTATAATTTATGTAGTAAATTAAGGAAAATCACTCCTCAAAAACCATATTCCTAAATGTTTTTAAGGAAGAATTTCAGTTCAACTATTACTAGTAGTATTATGAATTAAAACTCAATAATATACGTATCGTATGAATCACGTCAATTTCTTCGTTTATGTAGGGATTGCCACTGAAGGTCCTGCGTGAAAGGAATTGAACCCCGGGACCCTGGGATTAGAAATCAAGCATCTCACCGACTAAGCTTTTCAACTCCACTCTACAATTTGACAGGGAGAAAACATTTGTGTTTTCTACATATTTAGCAAGATATCTATGTATAAACCCGATTAAATAAACCTCGGAAACCCCTAAATTTTCAGATTTTTTTCATGGCTTTGCACCCTCGACTACTTTTTAAACATGTGTGTGTGTTGAACACGAAAACCACTGAAAATTAGTACCTGTTTCGCCATGTTTCGCAAGTTGGTTACGTCTCGTAAATACGTATGTCTAAAAAGAACCAGTCAATGATTCGCAGCTTCATTACGTCACCGCGCAGTAATTCTCAATGGATAATTCTGCTCACGTCAACAATATGGGATGCGTACCTTTGGTCCGAATAGTCTTTGGGCCGAGGGCTTATTGGTCCGAAGGGTCTTGGGTCCGGAGGCCCATTGGTCCGAAAGGTCTTTGGTCCGAAGATCCATTTGTCCGAATTTTACTGACCTGGTTTTCTAGGACAGCTTTCACGGCAGTAAAACAACTTATAATTTATGTAGTAAATTAAGGAAAATCACTCCTCAAAAACCATATTCCTAAATGTTTTTAAGGAAGAATTTCAGTTCAACTATTACTAGTAGTATTATGAATTAAAACTCAATAATATACGTATCGTATGAATCACGTCAATTTCTTCGTTTATGTAGGGATTGCCACTGAAGGTCCTGCGTGAAAGGAATTGAACCCCGGGACCCTGGGATTAGAAATCAAGCATCTCACCGACTAAGCTTTTCAACTCCACTCTACAATTTGACAGGGAGAAAACATTTGTGTTTTCTACATATTTAGCAAGATATCTATGTATAAACCCGATTAAATAAACCTCGGAAACCCCTAAATTTTCAGATTTTTTTCATGGCTTTGCACCCTCGACTACTTTTTAAACATTTGTGTGTGTTGAACACATTTAACTTTTTTTGATACCGTTTAATAATATGTAATATGATGTCATCGTACCCATATATGGGCATATCACATTTTTTGTCATATAAAATGTAATAATAATTAAAAGTGATCACTTTATAATAATAATTATTTTGTTTACCTTTCGGCGCAGGTAAACGTGCACGTACATGTGAACAAACAACCCATGAACATTGAAAATGGTCTATCTCGGCATGACAACATAACATTTTTACTATGTCGACTTGGCATTTTTACTATGTCGACTTGGCAAAATAGATTATGTCGCCATGACAACATAACATTTTTTCTATGTCAACTTGACAAGATAATCTATCTCGCCATGACAACATACAATTTTATTATGTCCATTTGTCATATTAATATATCTCGCCATGACAACACATATTTTTTTTTATATCGACTTGTCAAGATAGTCTATCTCGCCATGACAACATACATTTTTTATTATGTTAACTTGATAAGATAACCTATATCGCCATGACAACATAACATTTATAGTATGTCGTTTTTGCAAGATAGTTGATCTCGACATGTCGACATGATATGTATATGTCTACTTGACTCCATGAATTATCTTTACAAGTTGTCAAGTCGAATGGCACTTAGGTGTTTCCGTATTCTTCAAATATATTTTTTCTGAATTTTCATTATATTTACTTCGGACCAACGGACCTTCGGACCAAAGGCTCTTCGGACCAAATAACCTTCGGACCAAAGCACCGACCCCACAAAAGGATTGACCAGCATGTTCTCTTACCTCTTCGGAGTACCCATTGCATTAAATACTCTATATTATTGTAGTCTTATGGCTCAAAACATCAGCAATAAATGGCATGTTTTAGATATTGATCAGGTAAAAATAAACATACACATGGGCACAAGGCATAATCATACACATGACCAGCGGAACCGGCCATGTTTTTGTGTTCAACTATCGCTTATTTCAATATCTGAAATATTTGGTGAGTTTATACTATACAAAGGAAATTAACAAAATGATAATTTTAGGCACGAAACTGGTTCAGTTATAGGTCTTGTTAGAACAAAAGCAAAGAGGGAGGCAAAGAGTTTTAGTTTTAGCCAAAGACCTTGACATACTTGTACCGTTGATCATTACAATGCAATAGAATCTTCACTCATGAAGCGTAATGTGTTATTTTTTGACAAGATCAGGGCCCCTTTGCATGAAACTTACCATTAATGGTAACTCTGTATCCATGGAGTACCATGGTAACATTGCTCAACAACCAATCACATTCAAGGTTTCCATGGAACTTGATGGCAAAGTTACCAGCAGTGGTAAGTTTTATGTAACGGGGCCCAGATAGGCCTACTTTCAAAATAGTCTTGGCATTATAGTAGTCCTAGTGGGGACTACGTTCGCTTTTATTGACCTCACTGCTTATTTTTGTTTCATTTCGCTTGTTTTCGATATGCCTGCCAGAAAGTCCAAAAATAGAGCTGCAACAGCACAGAAGATCGTTCCCATTTCGGAATTCTGTAAGCGTGTGTGCCATAGGCCTAGTCTAAGTCGCGACGAGAAGGATGTCCTTCACGAAAATTTGGCTTCACATGGGCTGCAAGTGAGATGTGATGTGCCTGGGGACGGTTCGTGTTTCTTTCTCGCGGTTTTAGACCAGTGCGATCGTCTTAGTGTCAGCAGTACAGGGCTACCTCAAATGATGAGTAATGACGCAAACCCAAGAGTGAAGGCTAGGGCTAGGGCGGTGCAACTGAGAAAAGCAGCATTGCATTATTTTTGAAATTTGGTGAGTTTATTGCTTAAAGCCCAAGACAGATTACGTAACTAATACAGGGGGTGTGTCACTTGTGATCCAATCAGAATGCATTATGACAGAGGCGTGTCAGCCAATATTTCATCAGATTCAGACTGTTGTTGCACTGGAATGTCAGTCATTTTTTTTTTCTATTATAATAATCGGACGGATGGTACGGTGGCATTGCTATCGCATCCTATGTAAAAAAGAGGGTTTTCTTATCATGATAGTGTTATGCAAGTTATAATAAAAGTAAAACAGACAGGCTATCTATATAGGTAGAATAAGCTTCTGATGCAAAATGACTAATAAATGTAACATTAATAATTTCAGTACTCAAAATAAAATTCATTGGATTTCATATGGACACAAGATTTATTTGTTTCTTTGTTTTTTTCTTTCTAGAACGCTGTATTTAAACACAGTGATATTTTTGACCAAGTTTTTATTACTTAAATGAACACTAATACACTTTATTGTTCAAATATTATTGTTATTACTTCTCTTTTTTTATATTATTTGTCATATAGTTAGTAACAATTTCATATTTTGATTGCATTTTGATTGATTCAATTATTTATATTCTTTTATTCATTTACTGAGAGGAGCTTCCAAACTTCTGCACTTTTTTACGTAGGCAGCTATGTTCATGTTTATTGTTTACCTTCGCAGGACGTTACTGACCCGCTTGTTACAAGCATGAATGTCCCTGGTGTTGTTTTGCCAGGAGAAGTTGAAAGGATGAAAAAGTATAATACCTTTGCTACGGAGTGGATTATACGTGCCACTGCCCAAACACTTGGACGGGACATTCATATTATTAATAGCATCGAAGGTGGCGTGATTACTAAGATTGACTGCCTTACTCCTGGAGAAGAAGATCCTCTCCTGATAGGACACCATGTAAATGGCGTTCATTATTTATCTCTAGGTTTGTGATTTATTGTTTTTTTTTATATTTTTTTTCTTTTTTGGTTTCTGCAATTTTACAAACCGTAGTATTTTAATAGTTGTAATTTTGAATTAATTTTTTGATACAGTACTATGTCATGAATTTCACACTTGTTTTTAAACAGAGCCTGTACAGACTCAGACTGGGACTGCTTTCGCTGCATCTTTTGGTTCGATGAAAAACAGCATTTCACAAACTCCCGCAAGACGTCCTGCTACTTACACCGAAGCAGAGTATGCTTATTTAAAATTTTCTACAAGTACTGCCGGTTACAGTACCTCTTCTCACTGTAAGACCCCTGCTCCTTCATCCCCCATTTCTGCCACATCTTTTGCTTTGTCTATATGTAGGACTTCCACTGTTGGCAGCAAAACCTCAACAGCAACAGTTAGGTGGGCAGTATCAGTATGCCTATACCTATCTTTTTGATCTTCCTCATCTGTTTCTAAAATTTATGGATGTATATATCAAATAATTATTTCACTTTTAATTAACATAATAGCAGCATGGGTGTTGTGAAATATAATAGATTATAAAGAGTTAAACGTACTACAAGAGAGTTTCCTTTCCAGTTTAATTTTGATTATTTCTATACACTACAGTGACCAGAATGCGGACTGGACAATCTGGGGATATAAGGGTTCAGAAGAATAAAGATGTCTCCCAACAGCCCTCAAGGGTCAATGTGGATTTAGAAAGGAGCTCCTCCCCTCCAGAAGCTGTGCCTCAGCCACCATCACCTGTGGATGTTGATTTAGTAAGGAGCCCCTCTCTTCCAGAAGCTGTCTCTCAGCCACCATCACCTGTGGATGTTAATTTAGAAAGGAGCCCCTCTCTTCCAGAAGCTGTCTATCAGCCACCATCCCCTGTGGATGTTGATTTAGAACGGAGCCCCTCCCCTCCACCAGAAGCTGTCTCTTGGCCACCATCACCTGTGGAAATAGATATATAGAGGAGCCCCTCCCCTCTCGAAGCTGTCGTTCAGCCATCATTTCCTGTAGATATGGATTTAGGAAGAGGCCCCTCGTCTCCAGCCAATTTAAGAAAAGGTAAGGTATAATTTAGGTATTTTTAAAAACTTTTGCCATTTTTTATTTTGAATAACTCAAGACAAATTTGTTCAATCAAATACAAATTTATAGAGTCGATAGCTGAATAGTGTACAATGCAACAAAGCAATAGAAGTGAGTAATGGTATTTAACCTTCTAAATAATAATAATTCTGTTTTAATATTCTAAGAAATAACAAAATCTCGCAAAAAATGCCTTAATTTTCCTACAAACTTCATCATATGTTATACTTTTTTTTTTGCATGCACCACCACAACACTTAAAAAACGGGGAAAGGTTCAGTCAAGTCTAGAAACATTTATGAAAACGAAATCAACTGAGAAGCAAGCACCGCCAACATTACCTCCTGCAAAAACAATTAAAAGATCGCTTGATGCTAACCATATTTCAATTACCTCAACCACTGAAGAGGAAGCATCTGCAACATCCATCCCTGACACTATGCCAGATATTCCTAACGAGCCAAACCAACCAAGAAATATTACATTTGAGCCCAGACTATACGGGAAAAAGAAGCAAAGATTTCAACCATCTTGGTTTGACACTTATCCTTGGTTGCACTATAGAGAACATAACAACTCAGTATTGTGCCATTTATGTGTTAGAGCAGACATAGATAGAAAATTGTTTACAGCTCGAAATAAAGAGGCTGCTTTCTTAAAATATGGCTTCGCGAATTGGAAAAAGGCGTTAGATTGCTTTGAAAGCCACGAAAAATCTACTTGTCATCAACTAGCAGCAGAATCCGTCGTTATATTACCTAACGTATGTAAAGATATCGGAGAAACCATCTCGAGAGCCCATCAAGAGACAAAATTGGCGGCTCGCAAAAATGTTGCCAAGATTGTTCAAAATCTAAGATTTCTAGGGAGACAGGGTTTAGCCGTGCGAGGAGATTCGGATAAGAACGAGGAAAATTCAAATTTTAATAAACTTTTCAGGTTAAAAGCTCTTGATGACCCAACAATGAATGAGTGGCTTGAGAAAAAAAATTAATAAGTATGTGTCGCATGACATTCAAAATGAGATGCTTAAAAGCATGGCAACGAATGTCCTCCGCGATGTCGCCAAAGCTTCTAAGACAATAGAAACAATTCAAAACCTTAGAACGGATGAAAAATTTAATAATTTCTATGCCTCTATTGTTAAGAAGGCCAAGGACCTCAATGACGCGGAATCCCTAAAGGAATTCGAACTGGACATTAAGCCCAAACTTCCCAGAAAGCTTCGGGCACCAAAAAAACATGAAATAGGAAGTTCTGAGCCATCATTTCCCTCAACACCTGCCGAGTACTACAAGCGTCAATATTTCGAAGCTATTGGCCTAATCGTCAATGTAATTCAATCAAGGTTCGACCAGCCCGGTTTCATAGCCTACAGAAACATGGAAGAACTGCTGCTGAAAGGAATCAAAGGCCATGATGTGTCAGAAGAAATAGATTTTATAGAGAAACATTACAGTTCAGACATCAATACAATACGGCTCAGAACTCAGGTTTCCTTTTTGAAAAACTTGCTTCCTGGGGGATACACGTGTTTTGATAAAGTGTATTTACAGGTCCAGAAACTAGATGGTGCCAAAAATATGTTGATATCTGAATTCATTATTATCATCAAACTAATGCTAGTAAGCCCTGCAACAAATGCAGTCGGCGAAAGATCCTTTTCCACCGCAAGACGTCATAAAACATGGTTAAGATCTTCTATGAACCAGTTGAGATTTAATAATCTTGCCATACTAAATGTCCACAAAGAGCGCCTCGATGGAATTGACTTAATAGAAGTTGTAAACGAGTTTGTTGAAAAAAATGACCGCAGAAAAAAGGTACTAGGCGTTTTCTCCAGGCAAGACTTTGTAGGCACAGCACAGGAATGCCTTGTGTTCCGAAATGAGTGATCTCGCAATTTAGGTTTATGCTCTTATAATTATAGTGGCTGGTGTCCCTATTCCTATTGTTATTGTTATTTTAGTATATATATAGCGCCTATAATTCCTTTAGGTTACAAAACGCTTTGTTGTCCCTGGTAATTGGGTCCACATGCCTAAGTGTTGCTGCCATATTGGTGCAGTAGCAGGCAACCCCACCAGGTACCCATTTATTCCTGGGTGGAGAGAAGCAATGCAGATAATGTGCCTTGCTCAAGGACACAAGCGAAATGCACAGCGAGGGATTGAAACCCTGACCTCGAGGTCGGGAAAAACCAAAACCATTCCCGCTGCGGCAAACCGCTTCTATACTTTTGTCACAATATTATGATATTTCATTCTACTTTACAGTACTGTTAACTAAATCGTAAGCTAATGAATATGCATAGGTTTGTATGACTCACGGTAAACTGTCTGTGAATGGTAATAAGTCACATGAATATTAATGACGTTAAGGCAAAGTATGATTCGTGCACTTAACGGAAGGGTAAGAGCATGCAAATATGTTATCAAAAGGGTTAGTAAAGAGGCATCTACTAACCCAGGAGTTGAACATAAAATATCCTAAATGAAAGATGTGGACTGAGGAGTGTCGATTAAAGGACATATCGGTCAAGGCACATTTTAAGATAAAAGTACAAGGCTTTTAAGTTAAAACTTAATTATACGTGCGTAATAGCCGAATTCGGAGAGCATTACAGTAATTTAAGTAATTTAATCAAGAAATAAACTAAAGGATTGACCATGGTTAGAGGAGGTATAGCCAAAATAATCTATACTCAACTTATGTGCTGCTAAATATACTAAAGTGATACAGGCTAAGGGGAAAAGCCCTATCAGTTCGAAAGACTTGGTAGACGAATTGTAATACAACTGCATTGTTATAGCTGTAAATGATTCGAAAAGTAACGCAGCAGCGAATTATTTGATCGATGAACTTCTATTTTATTAAAATCATTTATTTTATTCATTATATATTTCTTCTGTGTCTCATTTGCAGTCATGTCGTGACAAAAATTCCATTATAATTATAAAGTTTAACACTTATTTCAAATTTAAAATTGGACTGCCCGTATTACTATGAAGGATATCTTTTTTGATCCCCTTTAGCAGCAGCAATGCATTATTTAAAAGTATCAGACATAATTATCTGATTTATATTACTGTGATATTTCCGTCAATTTCGCGTAAAATAACGACTGAACTTTGGTAATAACGATTTTAAAAATTAGCCAGTCTAATTGTACTAAATAGTCTGAAATATCAGAGCTTCCATGGCACAGCCCCTGGACCCCCGCCGGGGCGTCGCTCCTGGACCCACTCGTGAGCTGCCCGGTCGCGCAAGTGCTCCCTCGCAATTGATATTCCCATATTCGTCTTACTAGTGGGCCCCCCACTTTGAAAAACGTTCCGCCGGCCCTGATACACGCAGGTACAATTCTATGTATTGTTTTAATGTTGACTTCTTACAAACATTTCGTTCATATTCATTAAGGTATAGATTATATAGCAAGCAGGCGTATTATAAACACTAATTTTACGACATTCAATAAACATGATGACGTACTGTTAAGCTGTGTCTACCAATTTAACTATTGAATAGCTTTATTTTTAAAACGATCAAAATCAGATGGAGGTAAAAATAGCTTTCATTGATTTACAGACGGTTCTAAAAAAATCCTTAAATGTTACCAACCAATGAATCATGCAAAAGTATACAAAAACGCTCACTGTTAATAGGCAGAGATTTTTTTTCTCATAAAAGAAAACTTTTAATTGTAAAATAGTGAGTTAACCGTGTCCAAAGTACTAGTAATTTGTTTCCAAGCACTACTAAGTAATAGGGAGCATACAATTGCTACAACTTGAAGACATACGTCATACTGCATAAGCCTAACTGTAGGCCTAGACCTACTCAAATACGGTGCCAGATTCAATATTATTCTGGTTTATATACTTACGAAGACCGTGCTGTAGGCCTGCATAGAATGTGTCTATCTATTACTACAATTTTATGTGTCTATCTATTACTACAATTTTTACACTAGCTTGACTACCAAGGCATATTTGGGATATTTTTGCCTAGAGACATAATCACTCATCTGCGCATAAAACTCGGTACACCACTGACTCTGTTTCGCGAGGGGGAGTCTGTATGCATTAGTAGAGCGGCTGAGGTTGAATTTCAGGTAGAATCGTGCACTTCTGGAAGAAAGTTAAACTTCCCACAGTGATACTATGACACCTAAATATCATTTAAAAAATAGACTCCAAAAAATAACGCCTCCTAATGGCCACCATCTTGAAGTCCAATATGGCTGCCAAAATATTTGAATTTAGCCAATACATTCATATCTACAGCACATGTCATTGCCATCACCTATGTTTTCAATATCAGGGAGTGTCATGCAATCATCAGAAAATATGTCAGATGGTGCCACCATATTGGATATCAAGATGGCGGCCAAAATATTTGATTTTTTTTTTCATATTTACATAGGGGCCTATGTAAAGTACCAGCACTGTGAATCAAGATTGTGTATAGGCCTATGTATAATTAGGGATATCATACAATCATCAAACATCTCATAATCATATGAGATGTTTGCCTATGGCAGCAAAGTAACACCATTTAGAAAGAAGTCCGACAACTCCCACGGATTTCAGAATGATTGCCAATTAAGAAAGGTACATGAAAGAAATGGAAATTAAAACAATTAATAGAAAACAGTTAAGGAATAACAATTTGGTAATCAATCGAAAGTAATGAAAATTAAAAAAAAGTAAATAACTGCTTTGTATGGTATGAGTGCAAGTGCAGAGGGAAAGACAGATGCAGATATTAAACGTTTATATTAAAGCTAGTTTTAGCATAAATGAAATTATGTAAACATAAATCAAATATTCAAATTAATTGTGTGAAGACGCTAATATTGAATAAACCTCATGTCTATGTAATGGCTAATTATCATTTTCAAATGATAAAAACATAAAGGAAAACAAAGAATGGAAATGAAAAGAAAAAAACTGGAGAGTGAAAAGAAATATTAAAAATATTAAAAAATGAATATAATGGATAAAGTGAAATGAAATAAAAGAAAAATCAAGAAAAATAAAGAAAAGTTTATAGATAAATTTAGCATAAATGAAATTATGTAGACATAAATTAAATATCACATTCAAGTAATGGTATGAAGGCAATAATATTGAATAGACTTCTAAATGTCATTTTCAAATATATAATGAAGCAACATATAAAATCAATGTATATAGGTATCAATGCTTAGCATTGTGTTATAAATAATGACAGAAACAGTGCTAAAAAAACAATGATGTAAAGATCATATCAGGCATAACGTGTTAAAGAAGTTGGATTTATTAGGAAACGAATATTACGTATACATCGTATATAGGGCCTCTTGTGATAAATAATATTATTCACCACAAGTAGCCCCTGGTATATCGCAGATACAACCCAACCAGGACACTTTTTCAAAAAAATGGCATACTGTTGCCAAATAATACTCTGGAAGTCATACCTGTGTTATAATGAAGTAACATATAAAATCAATGTATATAGTATGAATGTTTAGCATTGTGGTATAACTAATCAAATAATAACAGAAACAGTGCTAAATAAACAATGATGTAAAGTTCATATCAGGCATTAACCGTTAAAGAAAAATCTCTTTATCAACTGTATGAAAAAGACAAAAGTACCCCCTACAATGAGAAGTTAAATCAAAAATCAGTTGTTTGAAAAGTGTCATATATATATAGTGTCATATGTATATATATATATACTGTCTCTGGTATATCGCAGATACAACCCAATCAGGACGCTTCTTCAAACAAATGATATACTGCTGCCAAAGAATACGGTAACAAAATATTATAGGAAACGAATACCGTATAGACTTCAGAAACACTTTATTTGAGAAAACCAATATTTCGACCTATCCTCAGATCCTCAGATCATAATAGGAGGGTTTAAAGAATAAACAAAGCGGATTATAATGAGAGTAATTAAATTCGGGTATACATAAATTATAATAAGCCGTTGCTACCATGTGTTGGAGTAACACCATCACGTTAATAATTTTTTTTAAAGGCCAACTAGGTTATGCCATTGGTTTCTTATAAATATATCTCACTGATGACTGATTAAAGTTTTGATTTGAAAACTTTGTGGGCTAGTATTAGTCATATTAAAATCTATTTATATCTCCCGTCCCTTCTTCCATTATATTTTTTTTTTCTGGTTATTGCCAAAGTATGTAAGTGCTCCCATACTATTTCAAGCAAAAATTTTGCAATTTCATTAACTTTATTTTGGTCTACTATTTATTCTGTGCTGTAGTTTGTTCATGGTTGTAAAACAATTCGATAATAAGTTTTATAAGTTTTTTAGCATAATTATAGTAGATATATTTTAGAATATGTAGCTCAAATGTGCTTGTGGAAAAAACCTTAAAATATTTAGATTTTTTGCAACTAATTCTGTTCCATTATAATATATGACTAAGAATTTGTATTCAATTGTAACCAACTGGTAGAATGTTTGTATTCTTTCAAGGTGAATTGTATCCAATACTATCAAATGAATATTCAGTTCATTGATTACAGAAAACTTTTCTTCTTTTTAATCTAAGCCGCCAGACCTATTTTATGTATTACTAAATTCTCCCGTTTATGATAAACTTTGTATCTGGCTTCTAATAGCTTTTCCACCTGCTAACACTCACCACCACTAATATCATTAAAATCATCCCTGGCTAGCTACGTAACTATTATTTATTCGTACATCCATGTACCATCTATGCGGATATATTTTAGAATATGTAGCTCAAATGTGCTTGTGGAAAAAACCTTAAAATATTTAGATTTTTTGCAACCAATTCTGTTCCATTATAATATATGACTAAGAATTTGTATTTAATTGTAACCAACTGGTAGAATGTTTGTATTCTTTCAAGGTGAATTATATCCAATACTATCAAATGAATATTTAGTTCATTGATTACAGAAAACTTTTCTTCTTTTTAATCTAAGCCGCCAGACCTATATTATGTATTACTAAATTCTCCTGTTTATGATAAACTTTGTATCTGGCTTCTAATAGCTTTTCCACCTGCTAAAACTCACCACCACTAATATCATTACAATCATCCCTGGCTAGCTAGTAGTACGTAACTATTATTTATTCGTACATCCATGTACAATCTATCCGTTTGATGAGCTCACGGTGCTTAAAAAAGCCGTTTACTTAGGCATAACGTTTTGCATTTCAAGATATCCGTTTGCATCTTCATGAGCGTATTGTGGAGGATGAGAACCACGTCGCACGTACGAATTACCGACGGCGACAGGTACTGGTTTGGATTTTGAGTACAACGCAACAGTATTTGGAGTGTTAAATTGATGAACAAGCTTAGTGACACTGTATGGTGATTCTCCGATTGCTTTTTTTCTTCCATAATCTGCAATGGATGATTCATACGTTGGCGGCTCTAGTTTCACATTAGGTGTGTCATAGGTGTGATTATTTGGTCCACTGCGTCCTTGAGGTAAATGCGTTGCATATTGGTCCTCACTGTTAGATGTAAGTCCATTTGTAGAGTTATCTCCATATTTATGTGGTCTGAAAGAATTTTTTTATACTAATAATATAATGAAATTTTCATTGTTATTGTCGTCGATATAATCAATATTATCAATATCATCAACATCTTCATTATCATTATTATCATCATAATCTACATATTAATTCTACTAATCGCCCGGGTGTAAGTTCACCTATCTTCTATGAATTCGCTGGCAGGAATGTGCTCATATCTCATACATTTGGGTTTCTATATGTCACGACTATATTCCGCTACTTTTCAAGGCTTGATATTCGATAACAACGCAAAAAACAGCCAAAACCCACCAAAAATGTGTACCTGTACAAAATTAAATTGTTTTATTCACAATACAACACATTGCAAAATGGCTAAATTATAGTACTGCGTTTTAATAACATATTTTTAAATTACTAGAAAGATTTAAAAAATAAAAATGATATAAACTCTGAATACAAAATAGAGTCCAAAATGGAGGTAATGCTTTTTTTTCAGAGTATTTATGACTATGAATGTAGATAAATACTTTTGAAATCGGGCCTTATCTGCAAAAGTGTTTATACAAATGCATTAATAATTAATTTATTGAAATGTATGTATATGAAATTTAATCTATAGACTTTTAACATATATTTTAAAAAATTTGGTTCAAAAAATGTGAAGTATTAAAAAATATTAAAATAGTTGACACCGCAAAATTTTCTATTAAATTTTTAAAAACCGAAGTATATGTATGAAATCCAAAGGTTAGTGTAAACATTGAAGGCTAGTAAATACTCTGACATTAAAATGCGGAATTTAATTGTGTAGATGAAGAAAATGCGGTGAAGGCAGAGGGAGGAGCCGGTGAGGGGAGGGGAGGGGTGAGGAGGAGGATAGTGAAAATATTTGAAACTTTTTTTATTTATGTTTTGGTTACTAGCATGTCATCATATTTTTAAATCTCTTCGTTCTCCTAATCATCATCATCCACATCATCATCATCATAATCATTATCGATTGATAATTAGAATATCATAATAATTAAATCGTCATCGACTAATAATAAAATAGACAAAGCTTTATAATTTTAATTTCAAAGTTTATTGATAATAACTTGTTGACATGTAGAAAAATATATATAAAAATGGTGTGCTAATTTTAAATATAAAATTAATAAATTTATATTTATTAAGTGGAGTATTCTTCCAATTAAAGCAGTTACTAACTAGGCATTAACTTCTAAGGATTCCAAGGTTGTTAATTAGATATTCGTTATACTAGCGTCTGATTTGTTACAATTATCTGTCTTGCGTGAAGTCAAGCGTTCAATGCATGAATGTAAGATTTCGCACACATTGCCTTTTCTCAGAGTATTTATAGTGAAATTTGAAAATAATGCCCAATTTTAAAATAAAATTTCATATTTCCAGATATATTTTTGGAAATTTAATAAAATAGGGTGATAGATTATACATTCAGGAGTCACATAAGCTAACAATCTTAATTTTAAAAAAAATGCTTAATGCCTTTTCTCAGAGCAGGGCAGAAAAGGTAGAGATTGCACTAGTTAAAGGTAGGCTCATATGTAACTAATTATGATAACGTACACCAAAAATCATTTTAACAGCCCTCTTTTGAAGATTCTATTAATTCACTTTATTTGAGGACAATAAGGTCCTACATAGTTATGTCATAGGTAATCAAGTAATTTATAAGGACCTAAAATTAGGTAAACGGCGTAATAAATAATTATAATCTCTACTACCCTTTAAAATCATCATTTAACTTTAGAAATCCAACATACTGTCGTTCTAAAATATAAATCTAAGAATCTCGCTCGCATCGGCATCCAGTAGACTAGACTAGCGAGGAGTTTCGAAAGAGGTGCGTGAACCTAAGGTGCGTCTTGTGGGCACACGCATTGATGAATAAACCCTTATATTCAGCTTTACTTGGCTTCTTGATTCTCTCGTTTTATTACTGATCCAATCATCGAATAATAGTTAGACCAGGCTATAATTGAGATAGGTGCCACTTGGAGAGGTAGAAATTCTCATATGGTTTTTCTAGACCAGTTTTTTTATGGGGAATCAGAATATGTGAGGTAAAAGGGGTGTAACCTGAGAACTTTCGCGTGAGGGCGCCTTATCAAAATGGCCGCCAAAATTCAATAAACTACATATATATGGCCAGGTAAAATAAACACAGAAGAGGTAGGTTTGACCAACTTTTGAATATGTAATGGTAAGAGTAGAGTATAACTAGCTAAAGTTATTAATGTGAAGATTTCGGGAGGCAATTGAGGGCGCTTTTTAAAATGGCCGCCAGAATTAAAGAATAATTTAACAGCAGCTTTAATACCATAAATAAATTTGTTTAATTTACAAAACATGAATGTATTAACTGCAGTTGACTTTTTAAACCCAAAATAACATATTTTAGGGTGGTAAGCTAACTCACTTTTAGAAATGTAAGTAAAAATGCCCCCTTATATTAGCCCTTTTCTGTTTTGAAAAATGGAAAATATCACCAGAATCCTAAAAAAATTCCAGCTTTCGTACAAATATACGGTTGTTTTTCATTATTTTTGTGTACTACACAAGGTATTCAGAGGACCACACAAATAACTACCATAATGTTCATGTATAAAGGCATTAATTCATTTAATAATTGTCTTTTACTGTGTAACCCTAAGTTGAGCAATAATCTTCATGTATTGCTAATATCACTGCAATCTGAAAGTCTTCGTCTTTATTATAAACAGTTCTTGGACGTGCATGGGCATCATCGTCTCAATCATTTTTTGCTTCATTTGATCATTCCATCTGTTGTGAATACTATTTTTACTAACCAAATCATTTACGTCTGCTTAATTTCCATTCTATAGCGATTACATTTCCTTAAGTGCTCAAGGGTCTGCTTGCAAACATGGTGGTAGCAATGATATGAATTACCTTCAAATATCACCCACTCACTTTCAATTTATTCTTTCAAAAAGACTTACAAGGCTCACTTCTTCCCCCTTAATTGATTTCTGGCCTTGTCTGATTACTATTTAGGTTTTTCTGCTTTTGACTTAAAGCAAAAATTGTTAATGCATATCATGTAGTTTGAGTTTAACATAGCTGCAGATGGTTTAAAATATCTATGGTCCTCATATCCTCACCTTACTGCGGATCGTCACCAAAATTTGATCATTTCTTCATTATTTGACCATTTTTATTCATTTATAAATGGGGCGTGTGTAATTCAAATGTCCCTCAAATTTACACCATAACCTAGATCGTCCCAAACACAAAACATTGTCTACCTTGTAACTTGGTTAAACCTTCCCCAAAGTTTCATTCAGATCAGTTTGATCCGTTTTCGAAATATCTGATCTGGAACGTTTTCCTTTGAATGGTCCACACCCTACTCAGGATTGTCACAAAAATGTAATCATTTATTTTCTAGACTTTGACAAAATGTTATACAAAGATTATTCCCATTGATTTTTGTTCAAGAGATATTTAGGTCTGGGACCTCAACAATTTAAATGACCTTAAATTTACACCCTTAACTGAATCGTAACAACATATAATAATTTCTTACTTCTAACTTGGTTAAGCTTTTCCGAAAGTTAATTTAGGTCGATTGACCGTTTTTAAAATATCTGGTGTAGTCTGTTTGCCCTTAAATCACTTTAATTGGTCTTCTCATGCACACCCCACCACAGATTGACACAATATTAGAGGGCTCATCCTTAATACATGGTGTATGCTTCGGCAAAGCATGGCAAAGTTTCAAGCTTGGGAAGTGACCAAAGTGCCGGCCATAAAAACACAATAATAATAATAATAATAATAATAATAATAATAATAATAATA